CTCTTTTCTGTTACTGTTATTGTCTACGTCTTTATCCATTTTAGGAGGTGATGGGAAATGAACTGAGGGCTTTGTGAAGGGTGGAAGAGAGCTCTGTGCCTGACCACAGCTAGCTGGAAAGAGTACACACTGCCTGACCATCCAATGCACTCTCACCTGAATCTGTTGGACTCTACGGGTGTAGGGCAGGGGAAGCTGCCAGCCATCAGCCTGACCCAAGTTAGGCACAGCCAGGGAAGGATCCAAGGCACTGTCCTGCTCAGACATGGTAACCAAATGCAATGTGTTTGAGAGTTGGTGAGTGCAAAGCCAAAAGAAGCTCCTACAGGAATAGAGATTTGTTGTTTGCAGCAAGCAAGGAAAGCACAGGAATCATTTACAAAATGATGCTCTTCCAAAACAAAAGAAGAATTAAGGAGGGCTGTACATATGCATATGAGGGAGACGCCTTGGAATGGGTGTATTCCTGCACAAGCTCAATTCAGACTTCTGAACATGCTCAAATGTGCTCCTAGTTCAAGAAATCAATAGGGCATAAAGGAGCATCCTGTACATGGTTGGGCAACATTTCAAAGTAGTTGGGAGACTGATTCCCTGGGTGCATTCACCTCGTGTCTTCAATGCTGAATAAAAAGGACAAATTTCCAGTGGGGAAACAACTGCTATTGTTTTCTTGTGATATGCCTGTCTAAACAAGTGTGCTTACATCCGTAGATCACTGCTGTAGGCTGCAATTAGTCATAGAAGGAAATTTCTATACACAAACAACAAGCAATCAGAAAAAAGGATTCAAAGAAACCCTACCATTCACAATAACCTCACACACACACACACACACAAAAAACAAAACCCATAAACCTAACCAAAAACTTTAAAGGTCTCTATAATGAAAGTTTCAACTTTAAAGGTAGAGGAAAACACCAGGAGATGTAAGGCCTACCATGGTCATGGATTGGTAGAATTAATATTGTGAAAATGACCCTACAGTTTCTGAAGATCAAGTATTGCTACGCTTTCCACAAACATTTAACCTCCTTTGGTGTCATTTTCATGTAACTCGGCACAAGTAAAACCATCGTGCACACTGAGGCTTGGAAAACATGACTTGCTGAAGAGTTCTTGTTACTGAAGAGTAATTGCTTGAACGGTTCTCCTTGTAACTGCACTCTAGTGAGCACAGAAAATAATGAGAAAAGCCACGAATAAAGCTAAAGTACATCACCATAGTACATTTCCATCATTGCCTGTGAGCATACAAAAGCTTATTACAAGGAGAGGGAGAAAGAGAGGGAAAGAAGAAAAGACAGGTCAATCCAGCTGAAACCT